GGTGGAGCCATGGGCTCACCATTTGCTCCCATAGTAGATAATTTGTTCTAGTCTCATCATGAAACCAAATGGTTACAGTCATGTCCGTCCGAATTTAAACCTTTAATTTATAAGAGATACGTTCATGATACTTTTATTGTATTCAGAAAGCAAAACCATGTCAGAAAGTTTAAAGATTGCTTAAATTCAAAGCACAGGAATATCGAGTTTACAGATGAAGAGCATAAAGAATCCAAGTTGCCTTTTTTAGATCTAGAAGTCATCAACCAGAACAACAGGTTCGAAACTAAATAATACCATAAACCATCATTTTCTGACCTATACTGTCATTTCAGCACATTTATACCTGATTGTTACAAAACTGATTTAATAAGTATTTTAGTTCATAGAGCATATAAATTTACCAGCTCTTATGGTTATTTTCATTGTGAGCTTTTGATTAAAACTGTCTTCCCTCTACCACTCGTCAACAAACGTGTTTTTGAATATATAGATAAGATTTAGAACCCCAAAATTCCTGACCTCAACGTTCCTAAATGTCCTATCACCTTGTTGTTACCATTCACTGGTTCCCAAGGCATCAAACTAAAAAGTAAAGTCAAAAGCATCCTCCAATCATCTTATCCACAAGTCAGTGTAAGAGTAATCTTCACTCTGATACACAATTTTTTCATGTTTCAAGATAAAATACCTCCTACAAAATAATCGCTGGTAGTATACAAATATTTGTGTCCTTGGTGCAGGTAAGTCTATACTGGGTCAACCACTTGAACCTTAGCTACCAGAATCGAGGAGCATGCGCACAACAGCTGTTTGAATAACTGAAATTTACAACCACCTAAGCAAAGACTGTAATGAAAGACCGAACAATGAACACTTCAGAATAATAGACTTAGCGAAAGATAAATGGAGGCTAATAAAAAAGGAGAACTCCTAATTTGTAACCTAAACTGAACAATCAACTAGCTACGTCACTGAATCTCAAACTATATGATCAACTCATCGTGCCTAAGATGGGCTAAAAGTGAAAACTTCATCCAACGAGCATGTGTCAAAATCTACTCTTATGTGATTCACGCATTGTTAATACTTGAGAATACTTGTGTTTGAGTCTTAACTACCTGCCCCCCCCCCCCGTGGTGGGCAGAGCACAGATAGCCCATTGTGTAGCTTTGTGCTTAATTACAAACAACCAACCAACTTAACTACCACTGTATTTTAAAAACATCTCCGATATGATATGTGACTTTCACATCAATATACATTGACTTAACTTTCGTTTCAACCGGGTGTTAAAACCGGTAAATTACCTCAAAACAACCACGAATGAATAACTTTAGAAGATATACTTTTTCTACGTAAATAAAGACTATATTCTAGAGCAGTGTTTGATGAGCTCAATGCTAACAACGTACAGTCTGTTAAAGGCTGGAGTAAGTAGACATAATGATCTTATGTCCAACAGGAATGAAACTGTCAAAATGGGGGAGTTGTCCTGTAAAACTTCTAGAAAGGATGAAGTATTCTGTTTTTCAATTGTATACATGAATGCTGCGACATGAAACACTCAAAAAAATATTGGGTTAAAGTTCACGGAGCAGTTGTTCAACCAAGATTGTTCAGAAAAATGTTATGTAGAGTTGGTCCTAATGGGGACCCCATAGCCACTCCATCAATTTGGTCGTATAGTTTCCCATTAAATATAAGGCAGTTGTTTTTCTCAGCAGGGTAATTAAGGATCTAAATTTTAAAAAAATAAACAAGAGAAACCTCTCGAAATAGATTTTCCAAGAAAATCTCAATGGTTTCATCGAACGGAATGATCGTGAACAAACAAGTTGCATAAAATAATTAATAATTAACAAATATTTGATAACTTAAACAGTTACAACATAGTTTAAGAGAAAGCTGAGATTAAATAACATTAGTTATCGAAATAAATACAAATCACTCTTGTATCAATAATTCTTCTGCTTCAGATTAGCTGTTTTAAAAATAATGTGATTTTATGTTATCATACCCCGTCACTAAATTCAACTTTTGTTTCAAGGTCGGGAAGAGTGGTCTGTTTTCGGGCTTCTCTTCCCAGCAATTTTGTAAGATGTGAAAAAAGTTTGACGGACAGTCTGAGATGGAAAGTTGAGGACGAAAAGGTGGGTCCATTCTTGTTTTCAGATTTTCGAGGATTTCTGAAAGAAAGAAACATACGGAATTTCTTGTCTTGAAAGATCAGTTTCTGCTA